CTGTATTCTGATCTTTTATTTGCACTACCTGTGTCTTCAGTAGGAGTAGGTACAGTTATATTCTGCTCAAGTTAAGTAAACCTATCAGAATTTCACTGGGTGTGGGTGTGACGTATGGTTGATGCATGGTCCCCACCTGTGGTATAACTAGAAAACATTTAGTAAAAGTTTACACAGCTTTTAATATTTTCACTATCAGATTAGAGCAACACACTCCTGGATAGCCAATAGTATAACTGTTCATGCACCTGCTAACCAATAATGTAAGTTATTAAGCTCCTAATATCCACATCAGCTTTTTTTCCTTAAAACAAGTGCTTGTATAAGAATTTTTTCTGCAAACTACTGGTTCTGCTACCTTTTACATTATAGAAACTTTGTTACATCTCTCCTGCCTTGAGTGAATAGTCCTTGCTCTTACCCAAGCAGACTTTGTTCTCTTTTTCCTAAGCGTTCTTTGTTTTCTTGCCCCATACCTCCCCCCCTTTTATTTACTAAGCATTGCAAAGTGAATACAGTGTGTGTCTGCATAAGCATTACCTGCTTTATGTTCTGATTGATAAGCTGTTGAATACAAGAAAAGACACATGGCAAACATAACATAATCATCAAAAGTGCTGTTAAGTCCCATTATAGCTAAACCAACTATGTGTTTAACCCAAGGCCCAAAATTGAAACTTCCCAACCAGGAGAACAGGCTGAAAGCATCCGGTCCCAGGTTTTGTTGCAGTTCTCCAGACAGGTTCTTCAGTTCCAGAATGCTTTTGTGAATGGATTCAGAGTGGTCACTCAGGGTCATGCAGGACATTCCATCAAAGTCTTCACATCCTGTCCGTGGGCCAAAAGAAGTCTATTGTTGCTCTATTTTTCAGTGTTGCATGATGTACAGAGTTAGCATCTGTTAATGATCCTGTTAAAAAAGCATTACTTTCCTTCACAAGCCAATAGGCTAGTTTATTAATTATGCTCAAGGCATATGCAGTATCAACAAAGGCAATTAAAGAACTAAAAACTCTCTTTGCAGGATTCCAGAATTCAACCTCAGAGTTAAGAAGGGCCAAATGATTTAGTATCATGTTTATTTCACCTATGTCATAGTGTCCAATTAGTTAGTGCTTCAAGACTTGGATGAAACATGGTTAAATGACCAAAAGTACATGGACCTGCCACTGCTTTACCTGGAATGCCTTGCACTGCTCTGTTGCCACATATTAACAATATGTTACAGGCAGGCTTATTGCATTGGTCCCTGATGTGACTTGTGAGGGAGTAGTAAGATTGCGCCAGCAGAGGCATAATGGTAAATGCCACTGCCACTTATATCAACTCCTGTGCTGTCTGTGCTTGGATTGTTAGCATAATTAAGATAAAAACATACAGGAGTTTTATAGAGCCTAGTACATCCAGTTCTTGAGGCTGTAGTGAGAGAGCAGGAAAGTTACTTACTTTCCTCATGCCCAGACACCATCCCACAGACTGGCCAGCATTACATTGCCATATTCCCAAACACCAACATGACAACCTGTGCTTACCTGGAGCTGTACAATCACATGTAACTCTCTGATTGCACAACTTGTTCCATTCATCCTTCATTAAAGGAATGCCAACCAGACATGTTTGTATATACATGACCACTCCTAGTGATCCATTTCAAAGCATAGATGGATTAATTGCTTTGGCCAATGTGAGCCAAACGTTGGTCTTTGGTTGTGGGACCCATGTTTTATTCACAATTCTCAAGAAACCACTGAGGATGACAAAAAAGGCACATATGTTGTGCCTAAACCCATTGTAACTGATTACCAAACTAAAATTGTGATGCCTTTAAGCTATCATTCCTTCTGCAGTGGGTTTGATGCTCTTTGCAGATAACCAGTAAGGTCCTGTTGATAGGGAAACACAGCCATATCCATGCCTCCATGTTAACAAAGGCAGAAGGCCTAGCCATTGTCCACTCTGCTAATCATTATAATAGACAGGTGGTTGAAAATCTGTTAAAGCATTATGGGAAAACCTTCTTTCACTTGTTGTTTTGTTAACAAATCTGGAAATATTTTAAAAATTTAAAACAAATGTTGTTTTGTCAATTTTTCCTGAGGTGCTACACCAAGGGGATTCCCTGTTTTTTGTTTAAGAAGCATATTCTTTTAAAGGGCATGTGTGCATTCCACCACAGTTTGACCTCTTGAGGAATGAGGTATGCCAGTTAAGTGACATGTACAAATGACATGAATGAAAGAAGGTTTTCATTGATTGTGAGACATATGCTGAACCATTACCAGTTTTCACTACCTCAGGAACTCCTAAGGCAGCAATAGCTCACAGCATGCACAGCATGTGCTTAATGACATCTCTCCCCTTTTCCCCTTTATGAGCAGAGGCAATAAAAAATTTGGAATATGTGTCAACTGACACATGCATGTATTTTAAGGTATCAAAAGAAGAAACGTGTGTAACACCCACCTTCCAGACTTTATTGACACATAATCCTCTTGGATTTGTACCTAGTCTGCTAAGTAAAGGTGTTAAGTGTGCACAATCAGAGAATGAACCGTTTGTCTGTTTTTTGAGAAAAAGTAGGATTAAATTGTTTACTCAAAGCTTTTGCATTCTAATTATAGAACTCATGCTACAACTTTGCCTCTGTAATTTGACTTGGAACTGTTGCCATTATCCCAGGTCCAGGCAAAGATGAGTGAGACCTAAGATGCATAACATAAAAACACTGAGATGGCATTGGACATAATCATACAGAGTAGATAACAGTGTAAAAATTCTTGTTGTCCACTCGCTTTGGAAAGAATGTTCAACATGGTTTAAAATACCAACTTACAAGGAATCTGATATTAAGTTGAAAGGCTTATTTTAAAACAGCTCTTAGCTCTGTCAACCCTGGCTGAAAAATCACAAGAGTTTTCCCAATCCCCTGTGGAATTTTTCCAGGCAACAACTGCTTTCTGAGTTTTCCCAGAGCCATCGAAGACTGTCTTTCCTCCAGGCAGGGGCTGTGACAACATTAGAAAATGTGGCTGTAGAGAAAGATCTTTTAAACATTGCAAAACTTTACTTTTTGGCAAAGAATTAACAATGTTTCCCAAAAAAAGTCTGTCATGGCAGCCTGTAAAGATAATGATTCCTGGAACATATCCTGAAAAGCATCTGCAGGCAAAGGAATGTGGATATAAGAAGGAAAAAAAAAAAAATGTAGGGTTTGGTATAATTTTTGTCCTCTGGAAACAAGTCTAACAATCACATCAAGTAATGTGGTTGCTGTTTTTGAAAATGTGTGAGGTAAAAATACCCACTCTAGCATCCACAATTGTTATCATCACATCACTGTGCTATTAATGCATATGGTTGGAATTCAGCTATGATAACAAAAAGTCTCAGTGGTAACTCTGCTTGTTATTTGGATACAAAGGATGTCTGAATTTTATCTTTCACAATTTGCAATGCTTCACGGGATTCTGGACTGAGTTCACAAGGAGATGGTAAATCTGCGTCTCCCTTAAGTAAATTAAATAAGGGTGACAATTCCTAAGTGGAGATACCAAGGATAGGTCTGAGCCAATTAGTAGTTCCTAATAATTTTTGCAAATCATGTACTGTTTTAATAGAGGTCGGCAGCACAATGGACTGACGAAAAATTTTCTGTTCAAATGATAGAAACCCCAGGTATTTCCAAGGCGGGACAGTTTGAACTTTGTCTGCTGCAATACAAAGACCAAATTTTCAAGGGAAAGACCCAAAAAGGCAAAACAGTTTTGCAATACAAAAGAGTCATCTGCTGCTAGCAGTATGTCAACCATATAATGATACAATAGAACCGTTGAAAACTGCTGCTGCACTGGTTGTAAAGCACTTGTGGCCACAAGCTGGCATATTGTAGGACTTTTTCATCCTTTGCAGTAACACAGCCCAGTGATACCTTTGCATGGGTTCACTCTTGTTCAAGGATGGTAATGGAAAAAGCAAAATGGGGTGCATCATCAGGGTATAATGCAATTGTGGAAAAACAATCTTCTAAATCAATAATTAATGATTCCCAAGTTTCAGGCATCATTGCTGGATTAGGTATTCTGGGTTGCTGTGCACCCATCAAGGCTATTACTGCTTTGATAGCTCTCAGATCTTGTAAGACTCTCCATTTGCCAGTCTTTTTTGGAATCACAAGTACTAGGGTGTTCTATTGGCTAGTGGAAGGGACTATATTTCCCATATCCAATTGTTCTTTGACCAGCTTTTGTGCTTGTTGCAGCCGTTCCCCTCTGAGGGGCCACTGATGAATCCACACAGGAGTATGTGTTCCATGGGAGTTGAACTCTTGCCTGCTCATCAGTGACCACTTTTAAAGACTTGTTGTCAGCGTCAGTTCCCACTGTGATCACAGATCTCACAGATCTCTTCCCCACAGTCTACATGGAGTAGAAAGTACATAGGTTTAAGAGGTGCTTGTTCCCCTTCTGGCCCTATATCATGAGTTCTTTAGCTGACTGCTGTGGTGTGTGCTGACCTCCGATGCCTGCAATGATCGATGATCGCTGCTGGAGTTGTTAAGGCCCATTCATGTGGCCATTCCTGTTTGCTGATGATGGTTATGTCTGCTCCAGTATCTGATAATCCTGTAAAAGACTTGCCATCTATTACACAGGTTAGAAAAGGTTGTTGTACTGAAATGAGCTTGGACCAACAAATGTTGGGAGTACTGGTACTCCCAAAACCTCCAGTGCCCCAGTCAGATGGCATTGACAGATGGTATCGATTGCATGTCTGGCAATAGAGGGTGTGGTATCAGCTGAGCAATGTTCCTGCTGGGATAGTACAAAGTGGGTTAAGAGTCCAAGCTATGATTTTTATTTCACCCCTAGAATCAGAGTTGATGATTCCTAGTAAAATAAAAAGTCGACTTTTAGATGAAGTTTTCCAGAGCAGCAATGCATGGCATTTAAAAGGAAGGGGTCCATTTAAGCTGGTAGGTGTAAGGTGAACTGATGTGTCATTTATTGTGGTTGTGGTGGAAACTGCCGAGTCCAAGCTGGCACTGCCTGGGGTTCTCCTGATGTAATTTGAGCTGTGTGGGTTTGCTGTGCCTGGATCCTGTTTTGTTCTGTGGCACTGGATTTCACTCCGCCCTTCAATTTTTGCCGCTGTGGCAGAGGTTTGCCATCTTTGTCATACTTAGAATGGCACTCATTACTCCAATGGTAACCTTTCTTGCATCTGAAGCACAGTTTACTAGGCTTTTTCTTCCCTTGCTTATTCTTTGAGCACTGCTTTTTCACATGGCCTTCCTCTCCACAGCCAAAGCATTTAATTGCTGCCCGAGCCACGTGTAGCTGTTGAGCTAAGGCAGTTGCTAGTAAATCTGCTCTGTATTGTTCTGTACCAATATGTGCACAAGTTTTGATAAAGTCAGTCAAGGAAGTACCAGGTTTGGTTTTTATTTGATCGAGTGCTTTACGACAGTCAGTATTAGCATTTTCATAGGCTAAGGATTTCAATAAAACTTCTGCTGCAGCTGGTAAATCAATTTGCCTGTTCACAGCTGTTTGCAAGCGATCGATAAAATTAATGTAGGGTTCTTGGGGTCCTTGCCTTATGGTGGAGAAGCCAGGTTCAGTTCTGTTAATGTCCGACACTCTCTTCAGAGCTCTTATAGCCAGCCCCCTCACTTGGTTATATGTCTCTGGGGGCATTCTTAACTGATCTCTTATGGTTGTCTGAGCTCCAGTCCCGGCCAAATGATCCTTTGTTATTCCAGCATTACCAGTGTCCATGTTCGCCCGGGCTTGATTTTCACATAACTCTTCATACTCTGCACACCATAGCGAATATTGTCGTGTTGTCATAATCAATTTAAATAAAGCTTTCCAGTCAGCAGGTAACATAACATAGTTTTTTGCTATAGCTTCTACAAGTCTCATCGTATAGGAAGACTGCAGACCATTTTCTTTCACAGACTTTCTTAATTCCTTAACCATCTCATAAGAAATTTGCTCATGATGAGGCTGATTGCCTTGATAGACCGTGGGCAGAGCATGGAGCAATTCAACATCCCCTTGATCTAATGCTTGTCTTCGGCAGGTGTCTAAAAAGCTTTTTGGCTCAGGGGACAGCGAAAGTTCATTATCAGTCACATGTCTTAAGGGAGACATGTCATAGGGTGGGAGACATGACTGCTGTTTTAGCACCTTTGTGTCAGTAGATGGTGATGCAGCCATAGGTTTCAGTGGCTGTGGCTTTATAGCAGGATATAAATCACATTCCTGTCTTAGATCAATAGCTCTTAGATTCACGAGATCACCCTCCGGTTCCTCCCCATTAATTCCCTCCTCCACTTGCAAAACCACCGAATCAGGACGTGAAAGTGGTGCTGTGAGTGCATGGGAAGTGTCTGCAGACAAATTTACGGCTGGGTGCAATATTTCTTCCGAATCGCGAAAAGCTTGTAGTGCAGAATAAACAATCAGCCACGTAATGAATTCATCAGGATTAACCTCATGACTGTCTAATTGATGAGACTTTAGAGACTCCCCCACTCGCTTCCAGTGCTCGAGGTCATAGGAGCCGTCGGGGGGATACCAAGGACAGTAAGTTTTCACCCATATAAGGAGTTGTATAAGCTTTCTTTCTTGTATTTTATACCCTTGTTCCTTTGTAATATGCAGTAAACAGTCTTTATGGAGAGTTTCCAGTTTACTGATATTATTGCCCATTTTTATGGGGAACTTTTCCCGACCAGTTGCAAGGCTAACCTGTTCCTTAGGCAGTGATGAAAGGCCATCCTTGGCAATCCCTGGAGGCCACCATTGGTGCAGTCAGGATATGCTGGAGGTCCAGGATGGCCTAGGAGCTTGTGTGTCCCTGGTCAGGGAGCCATTTGTGGTCTAGGAATGATGCACGGTCCCCAGGCACAGTATAACTAGAAAACATTTATTAAAAGTGTATGCAGCTGTTATAATATTTGCACTATCAGATTAGAGAAACACACTCCTGGATAGCCAATAAGTATAACTGTTCAAGCATCTGCTAACCAATAGATCACGTTCCTAATGTTCACATCAGCTTTTTTTTCTTAAAACAAGTGCTTGTATTAGATTTTTTTCTACAAACTACCATGGTTCTACTACCTGTCACATTTTAGAAACTTTTTTACATCTCTCCTGCCTTAACTGAACAGTCCTTCTTCTTAGCTGAGTCGCCTTTGCTCTCTTATTACTAAGCGTTGTTTTCTTGCCCCACATCTAGGGATGAATTTGGATTTACTCCTCTTGTAGTTATGACAGGCATATGAAATACAGACAGAGTAATAAAGATACCTCTAGCAAAAGAGTCTCAGCATGCTTAGTAGCTGACCTTTGTGCATTCTACAAATGAAGAGCATAAAAATCTTATTTGTCTGAAGTACTTAATGTCTTATGATTTAAAATAAGCAATCATAAAAGCCTCTCAGAGATTCTTAAAAGTACTGGAAAGTAAGCTGAAAATGTCAAATTAATAATATTTCATAACCAATGTCCAAGGCAAAGAGTGATGGCTCTAATAAGACTAGGATATTTCCAGTCTTTCTTCCTTAGTCTGCTACTTTAAATCATAACTAGTAACAGTTAAATAATTACAACTTATATTATTGTCATGCAAAGCTTAGGTGGAAAACATATTTTTAAATATACTAAATTTATCGCACATTTGAGCTCTGGAGGGAAAAATTCCACATGGCCAGTACTCCAGAGGAGAAGATACTGCATACTCTCAGCTGGCTCAAAGCCCTCAGGCCCCAAATCTCTCCCTCCTAACCATCAAGATTGAAATGGAATACAGGCATCAGAAGCTCAAAAATGCACTTGGGATGCAATCCTCTTGGGATTTTAAATATTAACATGAAAAATCTTAAACCTTGGGCTACCAGGCAGCCAGCCAGACAGCAAAACATTGTGAGGAGTCACACTCCCTTCTGCTGATCTCTCCTTGCAACAATAACACAAAATTACACAGTGAACCAGCTGCAGGCAACAGATCGTTTATGCAAGGTGCCCAAAGTGTATTTCATTAATCTGTCTGTCATTTCACAAAGATGTGCATGGTGATTCTCACCGGGAATTCAAACACAGCCTGGCCTCATTTCCATTGCAATGGAGTTACCAGCTGACTGCAGGTCCTTGCACAGCCTCTGGTCAGTAGCTGCCCACCCAACCTGCAGCCTCAGGGACAGCACCTCCCCAGCATCCAGGGGAACAGCACCTTCTTCAGAGCCCAGCACGAAAAATTAAATCTGCAGGGGTTTGTCTCAGCTAATCTCGCCTTTTGATCACATGCTTCAGTCATATAGAGGGAAAGCAATTGCAAATCTTGTTTAGTTACAGCTGGGTATAAATTATGCTACTGGTAACTCAGGCCATCTTCCTCTCAAACTCTCAATAAGTCAGATTGCGCTTTCAAATAAGTGCAGGAACCAAACCACAGCCCTGTGAGACACAATGCAAAAACAGGCAAGAAAATAACTAGGTTCAGAAGTATTCTGGCTCCACTTGCCATCCCAGGTAGCTTAGGAAAATAAACCAGTCCCAAAGAAATGCAAGACTGTAAGAAAAATCAGAGGTTTCTTAATGTTAGTCAGTTTGATACAACCCTCTATTGTTTAAGCCTTCAGGGTGTTCTAGTGTCATATTTCCATGCTTTTCTCTATCTACAACCAGAAAACATAAACACATGCTGTAATTAAAAAAGAGTAAGGCATGATACTTACACTAATATAGTCCCGATTTTCCAATAGCTGGAAAAAAGAGCGCTTGACACTCAAACTTCAAACATAGGAGCTGGTAAAGTGGGAGAGAGACTGATCACACTCTTCCTATTTCTAGTTTATCAGCTGGAGAATTTTCTGGATCTGCACTATCAAAGATAATGCAAAAGGTGGTCAGGTGAACAGCTATAAAGCACAAGGGCCATAATCTACTCATGAGATCCTCATTTTTTTATTTTTTTTAATGCTATATGGCCTAATTCAAAGCCAGATTCTTCTGCTACTATAATCTGAATTTGGGTTATGGTAGGAATTTAGAATATTTAGATCAATTTAAAATATTTAGATCAAACTCTGTGAACAGAAATTTTTTTATTATCTGGGAAATATACACTTTTGTTTATAATAATCAGTGATACATGTTCCTTACTTATTTTTCTTCTAATGAATCATATTATTCTTTAAGAAGATATGTTCAACACATTTAAACAGAAACTGCAGATTTTCAAACTCTGCCCTATAGAGCTCTTTAGATTGTGCACATTTCATGTGGATTTTGCTATTACTCAGTCATGAAGCTTTGTGATAAATTTATGCAGTAAAGGAGATAAACCAGATTAGGGTTGTATTAATGCTCCAGTACTTTCAGGTATTCTGCATACAGGAATGAAATATAAATTGCATAATTTAATGAATGTTTTATTTGATAGCTGTCATGGGTATGTTTTCTTGATGAATAATACCTAGAAGTTAGCAGTTCTATTATGGATGGGAATGACATTAAGTTTGCATTTATAAGCCCATCAACAAATGAGAGATCAATTTTTTTTAAAGAGCCAAGAAGCAAAAATTTCATTATAATTGTTTACTTTATCCTCAACCAAATTCCTGTGCTCTGACACTTAGTAAAACACCATAGTGTGAGATTTCCTTCTATTCTTTGGAAGTCAGCAGTGTTTGCTCATAGATCCTAATCTCTCCTCCATCCAATTCTCATCTCTTTCAGTTTGCCCTGACCTCAATCACAGCAACCAAATAACTGAAGAGAAACTGCTTTTTTTCCACCCAAGCTTTTTGTAAGGAGGAAGGAGCAGTTTTCTCTCTAAAGCTCCAGGCTTACCAGCCAGCTGTTAATTTACTGTGACTTCCTTCCATAACACTTAATTTGGACGCATGTTTAACCAGGGAAAACATTGCAAAAAACAAAGACAAGTATTGCTGGAACAATTTCTTTACATGATGCTATAGAATTTTAAATAAAAATGAAAACCCACGCTTGTTTTGCAGGCAATGCCTCTATTGATGTGTGACCATTGGCATCCTTTGTGTGTGGAATTCTGCACCCACTGCTCAGACACCAGGATTATTCCCCAAGCAGATCTCTGGACTGTGCAGGCAGAACAGCCACACTGTGCCAACACCTCTGCTGTGGGCAAAGCCTCCCCAGGGACAGGAAACCTGTTCTCTGCACTGGTGTACCAGGGGTGGTTTATCAATCTGACCTCCTGCTGTCACACAACAAAGCAAAGCAGAGCAGAAGATAAAGCCTCTTCCAAATTTCTCAAATGTGATGGATCCATATCTTTCAATACTGGGGAGGGAGGGGTAGAATACCACACTACTGGGAATGTCTCAGAGAGAGAAAAAGGTCTTGCATTTATTTATTCCAAAAGCAGACACTCAACAAAATTTCTCTACTGAGAGAAATTTCAAGCCCCCACAGTGAAAGCATTTGAAGCATTCCTGTCGTACATGGGAAATATAAAATGGTGTCTAAATTTCATGTAGAAAAGGCTAAAATTATGGAGATTTACTTTGATGCTGGGTAAATCAACAAATGTTAAATAGATCCTAATTTTAAAAGAGAAAAGAAATAATGACTTAAACAGTAAAGAAAAAAAAATCACATATTGTATAATGAGAACATTTGCTAGATTAAATTTAGTGGGGGACTGCTTCTCATGTATGTTATGTAAATATATTATCTGAATGTTTTCAATCTCATCTATTATATTGTTGTTTGTAGATACAGCAGATGATTTTTTACCTCTCAAGATTAATCAGTGTTTAAACACTCACTTTAACGTAATTGCAATACTGATGGTTTTGGAAATATTCTGCATTATAGGAATTATCTCTCAAATAAATTTATTTTATAAAATATGCTTTAATGATAGAAAATGATAATATGAACATTAGCAACCAAATATGCTGAATCAGATGCTGAGACATTAAGAACATTTTTCAGAAAAAATAAAGGCATGGTGGCTGCTCTTGGATTTCAAAGATACATCTTGGCTCTATAAGCTTCACCCAGTTAATTAGAATGACTAGCAGGCTGAACTGACAGCTACAATCACTTTTTCCTGCCACAGCAATAGCTTCTTTTTTTTTTTCTTGTTTCTTTTTTTTATTGTTTCTTGTGTTTCTTTTGTGAAAGCAAAACAGAAAAAAAGAGCACTACAGAATTGGTTTTCCTTGGAGAAATCCTACCTACAGGTTTTGTTTTTACTAAAATGAAGTCTTAATCATAAATACATATTTGCTTAAGTTTTTTCTTGGTTTTTTTTTTCATCTTTCTCTGTATTATCTTTACTCATCACTGTAAAACAGAACTGCGGGATTTTCTGTGTGGTCAAAAAGAATCTGGCACTGAATATGGATTTTTTTAGTGCATGCAAGTATGCAGAGCATATTTCTAAGTAAGTATCATAGAGTTTGTTATTTCCATGTAAGTATAAGGAGCAGTGTAGAATTAGTAGATTTTTCAGATGTATCTATTTAAAATGCAAATATGTGTATATGTGAGCATAAAGGTCAATGTCTATAAAAAGCTTTTTTTAAAAGCTCAAATTCCTGATTATTTTTTCAAAGATTCCTGGAGCTTCTTTCATTCAGATCACCTTTCAATTTTTAATTTACTTTATTAAAATCTCAGTAAGTCATCATATTATGAACTTGTCTATCTGGAAT